TTTGCAGGGTCTCCAGTACCTTCAGTGCAAAGATTTAAACTTTTGTCAAATTGCTGAGATGTGTGGTTAAATTGCTCACACACCATTTTCAATGTTTATTTCACATAATTTTGTTTTGCCATTAGTTAATTTCTCTATTTTTTCTCACATTTCGTCAATTTAAACACATTTTTCTGCTTTCTTAAAACGATGTACAAGTGGATCAGGATTCTTGACAGTTTACATGTATTGGAATCAAATAAATAATGATGATACAATAAATAAATTTTGCTTTATTGATCTCACAATGGAGAAATGAACTCTCTGCATTTAACCCATCTCCTTTTGGGAGCAGTGGGCTGCCATTGTGCAGCGCCTGGGGAGCAATTGGGGGTAAGAGCCAGAGTGGTAGTCTGTGGGAGTGGGTTTAGAACTCACAACCTCAGGATTCTAAGCTCTGTGCCCTAACCACAAGGCTGCCACTTCCCTTATAAAGATTTATACCTCCCTGAGGCAAAAATGTGTGTAATAGTTTATTTTACGGATAGCACCTTGATATATTAAATTGAATAGTGTTATACTTTTACACTATTTCTTAGATATTTAAAGTAAACAGCTCATCTTGAAATTACATATTAAAACTGTATAAATGCCCCAAATTAGTCAGATAAATAGAGCAAAATGAATCATAAAATAGACCATGTCATTTATTTTACTTTTAAGCATTAATCATATTAATGCATTTTAAGTCCCAGAAATATTATTTTTGGGTCACTGCTGTTTTTTCCAACAGCATAATATCTTCCATTGTGTGACGCAACTTGTAGATAGAAATATGAGTTACTATGACTTTAAAAACATAACATTCTGTTCTATCATTCATGAATGAATGAGGTTGGGTGGTTAAAGTAACGCAGGACTGGATGAGCCACATTACTGAGAAGGGTTGGTCTGCATTTCTTTCACTGGAGTAGTTGTGAGATCAGAAAAGCTGGTCGGACAAACACTCCCTGACTCTCTGGGTTTGGCTCTAATTTTCTCCGCCTAGTGCAAAACTGACATTCTTGAATAAAATTTGGAGTAAAAATTCCCTACAGAATTTTAAAATTTGGAGATTCAATACATGCAATCTCAAAAATGCATGATGTTTTTTACTGGACAGCTTTTATAAATATTTGTCTTTGCTAAATAAAGTTTGCAGTAGTGAATGTGTTGGAATAAAGGCCACAGGCAGATATGTTACAGCCCACAGAAAGATCTGAACCAGAACATTTTTAGTAGTTCTATACGTGTGAAAGCAAATTTACTGATAAATTCCCATTATAACGTTAATCATTGACGTAAAAAGCAACAAAAAAATACCATTAAGAAAAAAGTATTGCTTTTACTGCTTCTTAATTACTTTGAGAAAATACTCAACAGTTTTGGTTTGACATCTCAGCTGTGAAGCCATCAAAGCAGCAATAATAATGACTTTATTATCACTAAATCACTAAAAAAAGCCTTCAGCTTAGTGGTTGCAGATTGATCATTAATAAAACATCTTTTTTAACCCAAGAAATGAATCGATTTTAAAACTAATTATGTAAGAAATTATGAGAGACGGTTGGAGAACCAACACCCATTAAGGAGAAAGGAAACCAGCCCTTTCACATCCCAGCAGGTAAAAACCTTTGGTATACAGAGTGTTAGAGAAGTAAACCTTTGTTTTGTTTTTGCAGCATCTTTTCAATATTCCTGATAAACATCGTCCACTAAAAGCATCGATGCTCAGCCTTCCCCATCCCAGACGGTCGGCCATCCCAGAAAACCCAGAGCAGCAGACATTCATTAAGTGTCCTTAACCCTTTATAGGGTAACTTCATGTTTTTGATCACCTGCATCCCCTTTACAAATGGAGTCCCCCTCTGTCTCTCAGTGAGGTCTAGAAGCACAAGATCTATATCAGCCATTCAGATGCTACATGGCTGTGCATCTTGTTTTGGCATTTGACTAATTAGATGAGCCCTTGAATGATATATTACCTACTTAAGTTGGAAAATAAAGTTAACAAGTCAAGGAAAAAAAGGTAAAAAGCTATTTGAAAACATTAAATGTAAAGTTTAAAAGTTAACAATTATATTTAGGTTTATAAACTAAAAAATGTAAGAGCCAATATCAGCATTAATGCCTCTAAAGTTATATTGAACCAAAAAAAATGTGTTTCTTTCTCTCTCAGAGTGTCTTTCATTAATTTCTTATAGAAGAACTTTTGTTATTTTTCTTAATATATTTGTGCAAGTTGGTGTTTTTTGTTATTACATTAAAACAGATTTTTGTCATCAAAATTTCCATATTTTATTGAATATTACAAAGGTAATAAGGTCCTGGATTCCAATAACACTATTATCTTGAATTATTTCAGTATTTCTCTGAACGCCGTATAAAGGCTTAATGTGTCTCTGATCCAGAGTTAGAAGGATGCAAATATCACATTGAGGATAAACGGGACGAAAACATTCTACCCGACATTTCTTCATTTGTTCATTAATATCCAAAGAGAAAAAAAACAATAACTCACTTGCTCATCCTGCTGGACCCCTTGGTGTCCTTTGACTTTAATAATTTAGACATCTTGGTGGTGGAAAGTCCACAGACACTTCACCCACTCTGTCGTACTCCTTCTTGGCTTCTGTCCTCCTCACACTGCGCCTCTACTCTGTCTGTGCTCCGTCCTCAAACAGAGAAGAAACCCTCTGATACAGCAGGCTCCTCCCACCATGGCGACAGGTGAGCCAACACCCAGGTTTTAGCTCCATGCAGGAAGACCAGACTGACCTGTTCTTCACCCATCCTGTCTCCTTCAGCTTCTCCTTTTCACTAGGGATCGTGATTCATTCAAATCTTAGATAGAGAGCCAGTAGTTATGCATTTAGGGAGACTGGATGTCTGTAATGGTCAAGTAAATAAAACAGTTCTATTTGCAGTCCTCCCACTCTGCAGAATCT